AGTCATTTGAAGGTGAGTTGAAGTTCAAAAATAACAATATGGAAATTTTGTTTACTATGCTTTGTTACAGAGCCAAGAGAAAACGAACTTGAAGAGGAGAGCCAGGACATTTTAGTCCATACCGTTGACAAACCCGTTTACGTCTGCAGGGCTAGAATCAACAGTGTGTGGGTGTCCGGACAACTTCGACCTAAGAAGTCAGCCTGTGTTGTGTCCTTGTACAAGAAAGTATCCGAATACAATCAGTTTGAAGTCTTAGTGAGCATTGAAAAAAGTTCCAGATTGAGCTGGGTGTACAAAAACAAGTACACGTTGATTTCAGAAGGTGCTGTAACTAGTGGAGAAAACATTTTAAAAACTTACATAGCGAGACGATCCGCAAACAGTCACAATAAGGATGGCTCCCTAACGTACAATGTGGGTAAGTTTACACCCTCGGAAAATCTAGGAGTCTTTCATTTGGTGGACCAAAATAACAATGAGCTTCAGTTTGAAGACGGTGAAATTCTAGTCGAAACTGAACCGATTGCATATGAACTTAAATCCATAAAATTGGAACGATTCCGAGGTCGATTCCCAAGAACCCAAAAGAAACTTGGTGAAGCCGTTTTGAAAAATGAAGAGGATGTCCTGCAACATGTAGCAAGTGTGATAAGTTACAAATATAACTATTCCTTATTTTGGGGGAAAGGCCATGGCCTTTTAACTGGGTTACCATTCACCGTTACCCTCCCAAACGGTACGCATGTGAAGGGCCAATGGGCGGTCCCAAAGGAAGAACTAAAGTCAGAAGTAGCACCGGTGGAAAAATATTTAGAAGCTGGCACCGCTGTCAATGTAACACTAATGGGTAATTATACTGAATCCGAAATACCGTATAACGCTACTGTTGTTGCTATTTATAAAGACGGCGAGAAAAAAGAAATAGAGATTAGAGACACAAAGCGAGAAAAAATAGTATCAGACGTGATAGCACTATACGATCCCGTATATTTCCTCCACAACAATAGCCATGTACCTACTACGACAACTACTACAGCCGCCACTACCAGCGGAACTACTAGCACCACTTTTAAAACATCGACTCCGCAAGAAATTGCGTCTGAAATACCTACATCTCATAAAACCGTGGATAAAAATAATAAATTGTCAAACCATGAAGACAACCATAATATATTATCCGATGACCAAAATGTCGACAGACAAAATTCATCTGAAAAGAAGCCTGATGTACCTGCAAAACCAGACGGTGCATGTTCCATCGGGATGTTCAGTTCAGTGACGATATTAGCAGTTTCTTTGGTGCTTCTGAGGGTTACGTAAATGAACGATTGTAACACACCTTGGCTTGCTTAACTCCTAGTGAGATAGTGCGAAATGATTATTCGGGCAAGTGCAGCTTGTTTTATATATTATTCATTTTACCACTAGATATTTCGTTTCATCTCAATAGTCATTCTAAAACAATGTATATAGTTTGTATATAAATGCTGAGGATTGTTGAGGTATCTCACATAACATTGGTGATATTTTTTATTGTGACTACGTCCACGTTTATTTTAGATTGTAGATTGGGGATCCGGCTGATGTAGATGGTTTACATTTTAGGAAATTCGTAAAATATGTTTAAATTTGCAAATTGTATTATATACACTATGCAGTATGTATTATTATTCAATGCTTGCACATTTTTCTTTAATATAAACCGTCTATATTAATAAAAATTAGGGAGAGGGTAGTTTAGCAAAATAGAATATATTTTGCAAGTAATATGTAAAGATGTAGTAAGTGGTATATATTTTTGCTAAAAATTAGAGCTATTCTGATTCAGTATTGAAAAGGTACAAACTTTTTTTTGTGCATTAATGTTATTTCAAGCACAAGCCAATACTTTCAAACGAGAATTTTTATAGTTCTCCTGTAAAAGTAAGGTGTGACTGGATGATCCATTCCAATAGTAAGTACAAAAATGGAGTTCATATTTCAAATCAAATTTAATGAATAAGCAAAACATTACAATCTCTTAAAATAATCTTATTCTAATAACTGTGAAATATACACATGTAAGCTTGATGATGTTAAAAATTTAATAGCATTAAAATTCCATATTAAGATATACATAAATACAAAAATATGTGTAGCATAAAGTTCCGTAAACGTCTGATCTGACTTTTGCTTCATGTATCAGATTTGTTTTCAGTAATAATAATATTACTGCTGGTGTGATTCTCCTTGGACTGAAACCTGTATAAAGAATGTTTGTTTAATTGTACATTTCTGTAATATGTAGATAATCAATAAAAAGGTATCTAAATTGAAGAAAGTTCCGCTCATTCTGCCCTTAACGGAATCATTTATGAAAGCTGCACTTCTATCTCAATGAACGATAAAGCTGGCGGCAAAGACGCATTACTACATTACAAAGTTAATTATAATTAAAACAAAGCGGCGTTAAATATCTACAATAGACATGCTTGTGCCAAGGACTGTTAAATGAAAAACTCCGCAATAAATTCATCTATGTTTACGCGACAAGTTGATGAGTCTGGTGATTAATACGGAAAGTAACGGCTAAAATATAAATCTTTGTTTACCATACGTATTCTTCAACACACGAATAAACTTAAAAACCAGTTAATTAACCACAGTATAAAGGCCACATGTCTGAAACAGTCCGAATACTTAACAATATAACATTATAATGTAACACGATCACTGATCACGTATCACTGGCCTTGAGACGAAACTACTAGTTCGACATAAATTATATATTTTTTTTACAATTTAAGAAATAATCGTCAATTTATAATACAGCTTGTTGAAGGTGTACGTAAAATATATTGTTCCAAAAATCTCAAGTTAATTTCAAAGTATAATTTTCAAATCTACAGCCGCATATTTTGGTTTTCAGTGATGAAGTAAATCTACCGACATGGCATATATTATGATAGATTCCATGAAACATATTTGAAAATTAACAAATGTCGTTAAAACCATAGGCCATAGGCGTCCTGAATCTTGCTGCAGCACCTTACTGTTGGATGCGGTTATACAGTGAAGGAAATAGTGTGAAACAAAAAACTATTTTTAAAAATAAAATAATAAATCTTTAATAAGAGACTAAAAAATATCAGTAATAAAGAATATCGCAAAACAAAAATAAATTTTTAAATATATAAATTACATAAAATTAAATAAAATAAAAACCATTTTAGTCAGTCGTAGGCATATGTAGATATTAATAACGCAACATTGGTTTATATGTACAAGCTATGCTGCAGTCATAAAAATTTGGTAGTGCAGTACTGTAACTAGAATTTTTGATCGCATCCGACCAGAGAAAACAATGCAGGTGAAATTTTTTTGGCAAGGTCGCGGTCACAGTGAAGTAACCCAAAATAATAACGAAACAACAAAAATACGAGTACTTAACATATATCACATAAAATTAGCCTCTATTAAAAAATAAAGCTTTTTCTGCACAGATAATTAAAACATTAAAAGATACTAATGCCAATATAAGTATATTTGTCGTGTGGTAAATAAGCTCCCGAGTCGATGTGGAGTATTTTTTCTCATATCACATATATATGGCAGAATGACCTATTTCGAGAATGGGGGGGGGGGGGAATCTGGGGAAAAAGTGGACCCTAACCGTCTGGAAGCAACGGTAAGTCAAAGCATCCATTTTTTATAAACCGGCAAAAATAGTGGCAGACAAAACTTTATAATAAATAAGTTAGATAGTTTTTGCCTTGATCGTGATCAGTTACTCGAAAAGTAAAAATCTTAAAGACCGCCATAAAGCAGATGAAATGCTAGAATACAATGCGTGGAATCGTGTTAAATCAAAGGACGCCCCTTTAAGAGAAAAAGCGGCCGCCTGGTTAGTTACAAACACAATGAAACTGAAACGAAAATTGGGTATGGGAAACAGTGTACAAAACAAACATTAAGTCAACTGGGACGTCTCGGAAACCGATATTAATGTCGTTTCGCACCGCTTTACTTAATCCTTTGAAGAAACGTGATAATTTGGATATAAAATCCACTTTGAAAGCTGCTCGAGTATTAGTGAAAATAGCTGGGGGACGTAAAAAAATTAAAATTTCGCGTATAATTCCGGGTCCAAAAACTGGAGGATTTTTGCCGCTGATACCATTATTTGCAGGACTTTCAGCACTTGGTGCCCTGGCGGTAGGTGCATCTGGCATAGTCAAAGCAGTCAATGATTCCAAAGCTGCCCGTCAAAAGCTAGAGGAAAACAGGAAAGTGCATTTTTCCTAAAACGATATAAAAGTGGCATCGGACTTTATATGAGGAGAGAAACAAAAAAAAACTTTCAATAAATCTACCCCGAAACCACTTTCTAATATCGACTTAAATAAGTACGCTAATACATTAAAGATTAATTTTTTTTCGGGGGATTTTCATGAGAGATGGAATGCTTCATGGTGGACCATGGTGTAACGATTCGTCTATAATTAATCTAGATTCTAATGATGAACCAGGAACGCATTGAATAGCATTTATAAAGAGAAAAAATCGAATCATGTATTTTGATAGCTTTGGTAATTTGGGATGGCACCCGAACGAGATACGCATTTCTCCCGCTACCAGTTGGTACGTAGGTATAACCTCGTCCCGAGTATTTGAGGGTGACCCACTTTGTGATAACTCGTATGGGCTACTCGCCTCCGTGAGTGCGTCGTGAGGGGTGGTCGAGGTGGTATCAGTAACTCGTGTAGAGCGGACCTCAACGCGTATGGCGCTGTGGCTGCCCGTGCCGCGTACTTCTGCGAGCTACCACCTTCGGTCCCTCAGACTCTTCACGCAGTATCGAGATAGCGTTGGGGAATAATGTCATTTCCTCTTTCATCCGGAGTGTCAGGAGATCTTTCGCCGGCAAACAGGGGTGAGGGCAGTCCGTGTAACCGCTGGTCTCTCCGAATGGGGACGAGGTCTCGTCCAGCTCACAATCAGTCTTGATCATAGAATCACGATCTGATTTATAAGTTGTACCTTCGAAGGCACCAATCCTCGTAGCATTAGATAACGCGTCGCAGGGATACATCTTACCCCGTACAACGTCAGAGACTGACAATGTCAGAGCAAGATCTTTTGCTCTGAAAGTCTGGTAGAAACACTGATTCTACTGAAAGGTGGGTCTCTCGAGGGAGCCCTGAGAAGCAAGGACAACTTCTTTAAATTTCGAGTACGCCGCCGCAATGATGTGCGTACTATAACTTTAGACTCATAGGTCGCAAAGATAATGTCTCGTAGGGGTTTGACGAGAAAGGTTGCCTCGACGAGTGACCGCCTAGAGATTTGACGAGGAAAGTGGCCTCGGATTTGCAGAACTCGATGGAGTCTGAATGATAGGACTCGTAGGAGCCTATGTGTACCGCTGTTCCGAGGTGCGGGTTTCTCGATGGAGCCGGCACGGTCGGAGACAGTGTCTTCGTCCGAGGTGGTCAGCCTCGGACGGTACGCAGGTCTCTAAAGACTTTCTTTGGAGGCGAATAACTCCACAACGAAGCCCGATAGGAAAATTTTTGTATGTAGTACTATTTTGAGCTCTCCTGTATACCCCTTCATTTTTGTCATGACCTTTCTGGACACTCTATATATAGAAATTTTTTTAATCGAAGGAGCCTCAACACAAAAGATAATAATTCGATATTTAAAAATAAAAAATTAAAAAATCGTATCTGAGGTTGATTAAACAACGAAAATAATCATATAGCTTCACAATAATTTTCAATCTGAACCCAAAAACATAACCTCAATTTTATCAAACCTAACCTCAAAGTAATACACTGACTCTTTTCTAAATCTATGGGTGTAATTACTTGAAAACTATATTTTTAAGCTTAAATGTATCTAAATACATATTCAAACATTTACGAATTAAAATACGAAATAGGTACATGTTAAATATCAGATAGACTTTCTTTAGTTCTTTATTTAGTGTACTTTGCTGTATATTTCTATTTTAAAGCCATATATTCGGTGTTTTTATTCAGCGCACGGAAAGAATCGGAGATCGGGAAAACTTTTTCCGTTCACTAGCGCGAAAAAGCCCATCTTACATTATAATTAATAATACAGATAAAAATAAGGTGTTCTCAAAGTACATATAGTAAAAAATGTTTTCCATTTATTCCAGTCCGTAGAGGCTAATTTAATGCAAAAATGAAATAGTTTGGACGCTCACCAAATAAGGGAAAGAGCTTTGGCGGTAGGGCGAAAGCAAAATTGCGAGACCAAAAAGACACTTTTAATCCTATTAATTAATGCTATTTTTTCTTTAATCGAAAACCCCCATTTAATTATTAATTTGTACTTTGAAATTATTCAAACCAAATTGGGATAATAAAGCAAAGTAGGTAAGTAGGATATATTGATGTAGTCATGGATACGTTGTCAAACAGTAGTCGCCTTATTGCTAATTTAGTTGATTTGTGATTTGTGGTTCAATTTGCTGAAAACTCTGTAAAATTTGAATCTAATGAAGATTTATGTGTACCTGAGGAGATACTGGAGATACTGCGAAAGAAGTTTCTTTGAATTTTCTCCCAAAGAAATCTCGAGAAATTTATAAATGTGTACCAACGTTTTATGGAATGGTGCAAAGAAAAAACATTAAGTTGTATTCAGAAGTATTTCTCAAACTTAGCTAATAAAATGAAACCGTCAACGCTTTGGTCGCAATATTCAATGTTGCGGTCAGTGTTGGATATAAAGGGGATTGATATAAACAAATATTCAAAGTTACGTGTTTTTCTCAAGAGATGACGAATATGTACCGAAAAAATCGCGAGTATTTACAAAGGAGCAAGTTGATTGCTGTATGAATAGTGCACCTGATAATTTATATTTGATGATGAAGGTAAACGCTTTAAAAATAAAAGAACATCATTTTTAAAAAGTTTCTTATAGGTCAGTCTAATATTGGGGGTTGCAGGTGCATGCCGTCCTGACGAATTAGTCAATTTGACAATTGATAATGTTGAGGATGTGAAATCCGCCGTAATTATAAAAATTCCCAATATCAAAACCAAGAGACCACATTCTTTTACAGTGCTGAGAGACAATGATTTAAGTTTTTATCGAAAATATGTTGCTTTACGTCCACCCGGATTATTTCGCAGATATATTAGTGGAAAGTGTCATGGAATGGTGGTCGGTATTCATAAAATCAGTGTCGTCTCTCAAGAAGTGGCAACATTTTTTGAAGCTGGACAACTGAAAAGGGTGCAGAGGACACACATTAACAGGAACGTCTGCTACCCTTTTAATTGACGGTAGTGGTGACC